AGACAGGGAATTTTCTTACTTCCTTAAATTCTTGAATCTGTGTCTGTTCAAAGTTGGAGAAAACATTAGAGGAAGCTCTCTGAGCACGTTTGGCTCCCCCTTCCTTCTTCTTGGTTTTTCTGCTGGCCTGAAAAGAGCAGGAAATGAACTCAGCCGGTGCAGCATAGACCCCGCATGACAATTCAGCAGCAGCAATGTACATAGAACTGTAGTGTTGGAAGGGACCTCAAAGGTCATCTAGGCCTACCCCCTGCAATGCAGGGACCTTTTGCCCTACATGGGACTCAAAATCACAGCAATAATAATAATGATAATATGCCCTCCATCTGACTTGAGTTGCCCCAGCCACTCTGGATGGTCCCCAACAAAATATTAAAAACACAATAAAACATCAACCATTAAAAATTTCCCCGAACAGGGCTGCCTTCAGATATCTTGTAGTTGTTTATCTAAGATATGATGGGAGGGTGCCACTACCAAGAAGGCCCACTACGGACTGAGCTATCCCATACATATTTGGACTTTTTCCCTAATTAACAGCCATCAAAATGTGCAGTGAGTCACAGAAGGCACACTTTAATTTAGGTACTCTTCAAACTGCCTAAATCAGAATATGTTGTTGCTGCTGCTGTAGGTTTTAACAAAGCAGATTATATCGCCACGCAGGCCAAACTCACCATCTTTTGTGGAAAGCTACTCTGCCCGCCTTTCTCTGGCAAATTTTTCTTTATGAATTGCCTCTTATATGAAGGGGAGGATCTTGTCTTTACAGCTCAGATCTCCCAAAGGAGATCTCAAACGTCTGAAGAACCCTGAGCTCGCAAGAGCTATTCCATACATGGCTAGAACTGCGAGATACCTTCTGTTCCCCAGTGGCCGGGCAACTGTTCCTTAGACATGAACTTGCCTAGTAAGTCATTTGCTTTAACTGAAAGAGAACTAAGAGTATATACAGTGAAAAACTCTTGAGATCGTTGTAATATGTGTGCCACATTTGGATTCAGTTATCTGTTAGACGGCTTGCCAGAAGCGTTAATATTGCAGACAAAACACAAGTTTTTTTAAAATTTTTAATTAGGTAGTGCAATTCCAACCCCCTCAAATATTAAATGCACCATCCAACATCAATTAAAACATATATATTTTAGGATACTATCCAGTTGTGGAGTCCCACTTGCACAGACTCCCACTTGAATAACATCGGATTGCAGGACCCTTAGGAACAGATCAGTGGCTGGAGTGGGACTGCAAGAGGGAGAAGAGGGAGGGGAAGTTTCATTGTGTTCCCTGGCAATAATGTTGGGTCTTCCATTACTCAACCATTACTGCTATACAGTGGTACCTCAGGTTACATATGCTTCAGGTTACATACGCTTCAGGTTACAGACTCCGCTTACCCAGAAATAGTACCTCGGATTAAGAACTTTGCTTCAGGATGAGAACAGAAATTGTGCACCGGCAGCAGCGGGAGGCCCCATTAGCTAAAGTGGTACCTCAAGTTAAGAACAGCTTCAGGTTAAGAATGGACCTCCGGAACGAATTAAGTACTTAACCCGAGGTACCACTGTACCAGCGCACTTACAAAAAAAAGAAGATCCAAAATGTTAAATTTTGCAGAATTTAACAACATTTTCCTCTCTAGCAAGGGAGGGGGGACCTGCTCACTCTTGGGCTGCCTCTGATACGCATTTTTATTTTAAAAGCAGGAATGGGAAGGGATTCTGGAAGATTTCATGACAAACCCTCTGGCTTTGCCAATGTACAAAAGTAAACGGGGATCAAAAATTCAGAACGGTAGCAGTGGCTTTCCCATAGAAATAAGTGGGACAGAAGTGTACCGGTAATTGGGTGGATCATACTCATTACTTAGGACAAAGTAAAGCAAAAAACATTAGGATTCATAAAACACCATCCTGATTCAAAAAAGCTTCTAGGGATATTATATTTAAATAGGTTTGTGTGTGAACACAGTAGGATTGTTTAAAAAAGCAGCATGCAGGCAATCAATATCTGTATAATTTTCTCTCTTTTTCTTATTTATTTATTTATAATTTGCATATGCTACAAACACTGAACCCAATATTGCACGGCATTTACATTAGATTTCACTGAAGGCATTACAATAGTGTGTCAGTTTGAATGTCAATGACAGCAATATCCTCATTGCAGGAATTAATCTGGTAATGTTAGTTTCCGTGATCCATTAACACCAAAAGGAACTTGGCTGCCCCATATATTTGATAATTAAAATGATGAGCCACGTTGGAAATATCCATTAACTCTACCCTTTTAACATTCTTGCACAGTTGCTTCTTGCTATTCATATCTTTTGCTTGCAGCTGCTCATGCTAATAATATTCACTAATTATACTGTGTTATGATATTCTCTCTGGGCTTTTGGTTGGCTCTCTCTGTGTGTATCTTTAGCATCTGCTACTTCCCTGCTCTTCGGGATCCAATTTAGGAAACAATGTTCAAACAGCTTTTAAAGTCTGTATTATATAGTTATTCAAACAGCTTTCAGGCAATAGGGGTAGATTATTAAGACAATATATTCTTCTTAAATGAGTTGTCAGAATAAGCTTCCTGCACAGACTGTTACATGAATTACCCCCACATACAATCTGTATACCTCCTAAAAGTTTTGAAGGTGCCATTCCCACTCCACCAACTACTTATAAAGGTAAAGGGACCCCTGACCATTAGGTCCAGTCGTGACCTACTCTGGGGTTGCGGTGAGGGAGCCGGTGTACAGCTTCCGGGTCATGTGGCCAGTATGACTAAGCCGCTTCTGGCGAACCAGAGCAGCACGCGGAAACGCCATTTACCTTCCCCCCACAGCGGTACCTATTTATCTACTTGCACTTTGACGTGCTTTCGAACTGCTAGGTTGGCAGGAGCAGGGACCGAGCAACGGGAGCACACCCCATCGCAGGGATTCAAACCACCAACCTTCTGATCGGCAAGTCCTAGGCTCTGTGGTTTAACCCACAGCGCCACCCGGGTCCCTCCAACTACTTATAGTACCTATTTTATTCTACTGCAGGATTTCGGAGCTACTGTTGATTCCAGTAGTATATAAATTCAGCTGCCACAATTTAAGCTGGACATCCCGGAATTACAGAAGCCTTCTGATTGGATCCCAGAATGTCCCGTTTTTTGGTCCAATACTCTGGCACAAGACAGCTGAGCAAATGGCACTCTTTTTTTGGTTGGATGCACTGATGGGAACCAGCTGCTAAAGAAGGCAAGGGGAGGTGTCAGATGGCCTCTGTGTGCCATCTCCTCTAAACTGTCATAGGGTGCAGACACACCATACATTAACAGCGCATTTCCATCCACACACAGGATCTTGTGCTATAGTTTACCCCTCAGAGAGCTACAATTCCCATCACCCTGAACAAACTTGTTTCCAAGAATCCTTTTTTGGGGAGTGGGGTGGATGGACTTTAAACTTAGTGTGTGTGCATGCAGCCTTTGTTGTTGTTTTGTCGTTTAGTCGCGTCTGCCTCTTCGTGACCCCCTGGACCACAGAACACCAGGCGTTTCTGTCTTCCACTGCCCCCCTCAGTTTGGTCAAACTCATGCTGGTAGCTTCGAGAACACTGTCCAACCATCTCGTCCTCTGTCGTCCCCTTCTCCTTGTGCTCTCCATCTTTCCCAACATCAGGGTCTTTTCCAGGGAGTCTTCTCTTCTCATGAGGTGGCCAAAGTATTGGAGCCTCAGCTTCATGATCTGTCCTTCCAATGAGCACTCAGGGCTGATTTCCTTAAGAATTGAGAGGTTTGTTCTTCTTGCAGTCCATGGGACTCTCAAGAGACTCCTCCAGCACCATAATTCACAATGCAGCCTTTATACCCTTTTAAATGTGTTTAGGGGATGGGTGGGGTTTTTTTTTGGTTTGTGTATTTTGTGTGTGACTTTTATTATGCATTTTGTTCTTATCTTGTCTTTTAATGTTGTGAACTGCCCTGAGACCTACAGATGCAGGTGGTATACAAATGTAAATAAATTCATCATCATCATCTATCTCAAAGAAGGCATGGCAGCCTAGCAAGAACCTTGGTTGCGCAGAAGGACTGGATGCTGCAGTTCCCCACAATAACAGAGTTGTAGGGGGGCAGAGCAAACAAAATTAAAATTTAAATTTTAAAAAAATCCATCACGTAAAAGTATTTAGTAATACTAAAAAAATCAACACCACTATGAGTTTTTCAACCTCGCAAGAACAAGAGCACTGAGGACTACAAGCTTAAAAACGAAGATGCTGAGGGTCAGGCCGGTTCTACTTTTTTGGTCAAGGGAATTCATCCGCTTGGGAGAGCGTGCAGATTCTGCGCATGCGGATTGGTTCTTTCTTGCGTCCCTCACGTCGCCTTCTTGCAGAGATAAGAAAAAATAGTCAAAACAAAAAAAAATTCCTTCCAGTAGCACCTTAAAGACCAACTAAGTTAGTTCTTGGTATGAGCTTTCGTGTGCATGCACACTTCTTCAGATACCTCAGTGTGCATGCACACGAAAGCTCATACCAAGCTTTCGTATATCTTCAGATACTTCAGATACCTCGTGTGCATGCACACTTCTTCAGATACCTCAGTGTGCACGCACACGAAAGCTCATACCAAGAACTAACTTAGTTGGTCTTTAAGGTGCTACTGGAAAGAATTTTTTTTGTTTTGACTATGGCAGACCAACACGGCTACCTATCTGTAACAAGAAAAAATAGGATATACAGCCTTAAAAAGCCAGTAGACGTGAAAACTGTACTTAGAATAAGCGCTACTAAGTTCAACCGTCCTTATAATTGAGATTACAGCCTTAATTATTTTCTGTGTGCAAAACCGAAATAATCCATGATTCTTTGCCCGCGTCTCTTAGCGAAAACCTTATTCGTAGCTCGCCGGAAGCCCTCTCAACGGAAGCGTCGTCAATCTCCTTTTCCTATCTCTATCGTCTTCCTCTCAACTCCGCGCAGGCGCGACGCACTGACGTCACGTCACCTGCTCAGAGACGCTTTTCCTTTGAGGCCTTCGGTTCCTGGGCGCCTTGACGTCACTTCCTCCTTAGCGGTCGGACGAGGAGAAGGCAAGATGATCCCGCCGGTGGAGGTTTCCCCGCTGATCAAGGTAACGGAGCCCCGTGTCGGGCGTCGCTCTCTCTCGGGGCGGCCGGTCAGCCATCAACGCGCGCGGCGGGAACCCGAGTCAGGCGCTTCCCCTCCTCTGCCGGAAGGTGACCTCGGAGGAGGAGGAGGTCAAGGAGAGCGGCTGGGCAGCGCCTGGCCTTCTGCGCCTGCGCGTCCGAGGCAGCTGGGCGTCCGAATGCCGGTTGCTGGAAGCCTCAGGCGGCGGAGAGACGGGGTCGGCTCTGGTTCCCAGGCCCCTATTGAAGGGCCTGCGAGGATAGGGAGAGCCCTGCTGGGTCAGGCTAAGGACCCATCATCACCACCACCACCAATTTAAAGTACTCATTTTCACATCCTCAAGATATCAGTGGCTTCCCTTCTTCTCTTTCCATGATTCATAAAAGCCTGCAGGTTTTACAAAAAAACAACCCTATGCCATTCAGTATTCCATTATTACATCCATCAAAACTTATTTACACTGTTGAATTTACCTTAATGCTGCCAGCGTTTTCAGGTGTACACACTTATTTCCCATATACAGTCATACCTCGGGTTACAGACGTTTTGGGTTGCGCACCCGGAAGTACTGGAATGGGTTACTTCTGGGTTTCGGCGCACGTGCAGAAGTGCTAAATCGCGCTTTGTGCATGCTCATAAGCCCCGAATTGCGACCCACACGTGTGCAGACGCAGCGCTGCAGGTTGTGAACGCTGTGGGTTGCGAACATGCTTCTCGCATGGATCATGTTTGCAACCCAAGCGTCCGCTGTATTCAATAACCGTTTTCCAATTGATTGTTTTCCGCTCTCCTAAAAGCCTTCCAGTAGGCTTGCCATTCACCCTCTAATCTGTTAACGTGTTTACTTACGAAAATACCTTCAGCCTGGATTTTCTGGAGTAAATGTCTGCAAGGTGGCTAACAACTCAAAAGCAAAGAGTGTGTGTGTGAATGTTGTGTGTCTTACACAAATATACTAAAAGGCATTTTCAGATGCTCAGTAGGAATATGAACAGTTATAGCTGAAATGAGAGGAAGCTAATTGGAAAGCCAACTGTTTTTGCTTGTCATTTTAGTGTGGCATCAGTTGTGCATTGGAACTCCCTGTCTTTAGAGATCAGGCCTTTATTCTATTATCTTTGGTGCCTACATATCTTTTTTGTGTGTGTTTATTTGGGCAAACCTATCTAGATATGTTGATGTGTTTTAATCTCTGTTTAGTTTACTGCTGATTTTAATTGTTTTTAATTACTTGCTTTTAAATGTTTTCTGTTGATAGTTTTGTTACTCTTGTAAGCAGCTTAGAGGTTCTGTTGTAATCAAGTGGTATGTAAAATTTGTTAAAACAAACATGGGCAGAATGTTAAAATGGGTAAAGGTACTTACGCAAGCATTTGGCTCTTCACTCAATATTCATAACTGAGCAAAAATCAGTACTTTGAGTAAAACTTAGCCGAATACCATCCTTGCTTTGTGAAACCATTTCCAGAATGGAATGTCCTCCTATTTGACTTTTAGCTGAAGGTGCTTGGCCTTCTATTTTAGCTATAGTGTAAAAGGCTTGTCCTAAATCAGGAATAGGAACCTTTGGACCACCAGATGCTGCTGAGGTGATGGAAGTTGAAAATATGGAGAGTCAAAGATCCCCCACACCTGCTCTAAATTCTGTAGTCCTTAAAATCTGAGAACTGCAAGGTAAAATGTTTATGTGTTTGTGTATTTAAGACATGTCCTTTCTGTTTCATCCTTATACAATTTATTTTACAGTTCGGCAGGTATTCAGCACTGCTCATTGGGATAGTCTATGGAAAGAAAAGATATGGTAAGGAAAACTGTTATCTAATCCAGGGTTGGGGAGGCTGTGGTCCTCCAGATATTGTTCTACAACTCTCAGTATCCCTGGCTGTTTTCTATGATGGGTGATGGGGCTGATGGAAGTTGAGAATCCAACAAGATCTGAAGGGCATCAGGTCCCTTGTGCTTATATAAGCTTCTAATTCATCAATTAACCATATTCAGTTTCTTGCATTTGTGCTTGAAAACAAAATTGTAAATATGAAGATAGGAAGTGATTCTACATTCCAGGCACTTGTGATTCTCCATGGATTTACATTATGCAAATGCTTCTGCTTTTCTCCTCTGTTGCTTCTTGTATTAAAGTGTTCCTCTTTCTTATAAATCCCTTGCAAGATGTTCTAGAATAGATCCTCGGTTGCAAAAAGAGTGCCTGGTCACATGAATCTTGTTGCAAACATTTATATGTCCAATGTAGTATTGTGTTTTGACTTGAATCAGTCAGGAATCCCCAGGCTTTGAGTTTATTTGTGTTGTTTTTTTAAAGATATGAATAACATGCACATGTTCAGTGAAACACTTTCTATAAAGTATTTTAAAAGCTATTGTAGAAAATATTCCTGATGAGTTTAAGTAGTGTATCTGTGTTTATCTTTACAAAGCTTTGTAACAATAAAACCAAAAATAATTTACCTAAAGTGGGAAAATTATATTGTAGAATCTATCTTCTGGAAAGAATTCCAAGTAGTAAGTTCACTGATTGTACATATCTGTACATATAAAAAAAATGTAAAGTGTCATCACCCCGCAGTTTGCTTCACCACTCACTGGTGGCACTGTAAATTACAGTGTGGAGAGAAGCAGTGCATAGGTGGCCCAGACGAGCTGCATAGGGACATCCAGGACAGGCTTCAGCAGCCCCCCAGCAGCCCCCAAGCCCCACTGGCTCTTCAGCCTGCCAGCTCTGAGATCCAGATCCCCAGGCCGGCTGACACCTCTACTGGCCACTTTTCTCCTTTCTGGCCAGCTTGGGAATCCACTGCTTTTGCCAGTGTTCAGAAATGCAGAAAGGGCCATGTTTTTAAATTTGAGTCCACCTAAAGCGCTATGGTTCTCCTGAGGCATTTCTGATGTATTTCACTTAAACTTTGAAATATTGCATGTATCTAATGGGTTGAAGCAATATGTAGTATACGATGAACACTGAATATTTACTGAGCAAGTCTTCCATTGGTCAGAAAGATTATAATGCATTTGTAAATATACAGTGATCATGAAAATCCTTTTTTTATGATAGACTATTTGAAGCCTATTGCTGAGGAGGAAAGGAGAATAGAAGCAGAGGAGAAGAAGAAGCGTGAAGAAATGGAACGAATTGCAAAAGCACTGGCAGAAGGTATTTTTCCTAAATATAGTCCATCTTTTAAGTTTAAAAACAAGCTTGTGTGTGTGTGTATATAATCTTAGAGTACAATGTCTCAAGTCTATCAGGTCAAGTGATGGAAATGATCATAGGTGACACTTAAAATTTTAGACATTAAAAAGGACTTAATTGAAGAGTTAACCTTTGGGGAGCATAAGAACAGAAACGGCTCAATTGACTGGATTTCTGTGAGCAGAATTCCACAGTTGATATTCTGTACTTTCCATGGCTTATTTCAAAGAGAAGCTTGTTCTACAAGAAAAAATTGTTTTTGTACATTCTTTTGATGATCTGCCTTAAAAAGAAATTTATTCCCTCACCCGCCCCCTGTAAACCTATAAGAGACTCAAAGCTAAGAACAATTTGGAACCTCTTTCTGAATAGTACCAGCTTCCTTGTGTATGGCTCTCTGCGCAATTCTTTCCTTGCTAAGAGCAGCTTTTGGAAATAACTGAGAAGAAATAGTAATACCAGTTATGAGTATAGAAAATTCACTTCCTATTAAACAATAACTGACTAAATTGCATGGTGTTTGGGGCAGTTCTCTTCTAGTGCGGTTAGAAAAATACTTGGAAGCAGATGTAACAAATAGGATGTTTAACAAGCTCCTGTTAACTACTATGTGTGGTTTAAAAATGGGAATTTGTTGTAAAATGCTTGATGCATGCTTCAGATATGTGTAACCACCTATGAACCCCTTCTCTCATCTTGTATTGCAATGTATCTCATATTATGGGGAGAATTAAATGGCTGCATTCTTGACCATCTTACAGTATTTAATGAAGATTGCAGAAATCAGCTGCCAGCAGTATATCTGACATGGCTTGCTGAGGTATATTTAGTCTGTATACTCTGGTGTTATTTGAATGCTGAACCAATTATCTTAATCATTTTATTCTTTCCTTTTCAGCTAGCGACGATTCAATACTGAAATAAACCTGCTTGATCTTCGTCTTCACCTTTTAATATCCAATGTATGAAATTTTGAAGTAGTTGGATCTCAAGTGTCAAACACAAACTTATTTACATCAATAAACAGTTGCTGGAAGAGCTGTTGTCAGATTCACTAATGCGCAAAGTACAAATGGCATAAAATCATCTCCTTCATATTTATCTAGCAAGCAGGAGATTTGCATATATTACTTTTCATGCGGCAATATTTGTGAAAATCGAAGCAGTATCTAATTCTCAGCTGTCTGTGTGAAAGAAGACTTGGTTTCCTTGCGCTGCTGCTGGAATGTAGACTTTTCCAGATAATAGGACAGTAAGTTACAAGTCAGCCGCTTGTAGGGGGTGTAGTTGTTGCACTTCTAGGCAATACAGTTGGCCTGTTTGCTTGTGTAATAAATAGATTTCAGTACACGACTTCAAAACATGAACTGACAGGGTGGCATAGGAATGCATGTTAAAACACCAATAATTTCATCACTGTCAGCCTTGGAAACTTAAGTCTGTATGTACAAGTATTTCATACTACATTTTGTGTGGCCAGTACTAATACCTTTGGAAACATGTAAGTGACACCCAGTAATTTCTCACACTGATACGTTAAATAAAAAGCAGACTTCATTTATTCAAAGTGTTTTGTTATGCTTCCTGTAAAGCAGGCACCCCCAAACTCGGCCCTGCAGATGTTTTGGGACTACAATTCCCATCATCCCTAGCTAACAGGACCAGTGGTCAGGGATGATGGGAATTGTAGTCCCAAAACATCTGGAGGGCCGAGTTTGGGGGTGCCTGCTGTAAAGAGATGCTGCCTCATAAGAGTTTGCACCATGGCATTTGTTGGAAATCAAAAACTGATTCTAGTAGTTGGAATCCATTGTAGGATGAAGTGCACAAAAGCCAGACGAATTATTGTTATTTATTTATTAAATTGGTATACTGCCCTATACCCGCAGGTCTCAGGGTGTTCACAATATAAAATCACAACATCTGAATATAAAATCACAATATCAAACTACAAAATACATTACAAAAATAAGAACAGCCCAATAATCCCCCCCTCCCCAACACATTTTAATAATGGCCTGAGCCACTTATATATTTATTTACTTTTATTTCATAAAACCTTTACATTGCTTGATGGTTAAAAAAAGAAAAAACAACCCTCAAAGCAGTTTTTAAAAACCTATCCATTGTGCAAGGATTGCACTGCAACTGATGATGCTTCTGTCAAAGCGCCTGCATTTTGGTCTTTAGTTGGGGTATAAATGGGTTTCTTGTATTCAGAGCCGGGCATGTTCTGTTGCGAGAATAAAGGAAGATGGGGAAAGCATGTGAACCTCCCTGAGGCAAGAATGGGGTGAAAAGATAATAGGGAAAACCTTGTGTTTCTGTGCTCATCCTAGAGCATGTCAGTGAAGTAAACCCCAAGGAATAGGGAGGAAGCAATATGCACACCCAGTTTGAAGTGGAGGTGACAGGGAGTTGGTGGGCAAGAGGGAGAATAGATCTGCTGATCAGCTGGCTGGAGAAGACGGATGCATGGTAGCTCTGCCAGCTCTTCATGGCTCATTGTGTAGCTCACTATCAAGCTATCTGTGGTGGAGGAGGGAGCATTGCTAAATTCCATGGAATCTGTGCTATGGGATTCCATCTCGTCCCCCATTGGTTTTTCAGGGCTGAAAAACCTCTAGCTATCCAGGTGTTGCCAAACTCCAAACACTTCCCAAACCCACATTCCTGACTTTTGGCAATGCTGACTGGGATTGAAGGGAGCTGGAATGCTACAATGCCTAGAGAGCCACTCAAAGCTGTATAAAACTGCTAACTGAGGTCATCTGGGAGTTTGTAGCGAAGTGTCATCGATATGCAGATGACACCCAATGCCTATTCATCCATTTCAGGTGAGACAGATTGGGTAAACCAGTGTCTGGGTGTGCTATGAAGTGGATGAGGTCCAGTAAACTGAAATAGAATGCAGATTAGTCCTTTCTGTGGGTGGTTCATCTACATGGGTTTGTGGTGGTCCACTTCTCTGAAGGGACATGATCACAATCTGTAGAGTTGATTGTGGATCCATTTTTGCGTTGGAAGTGTCTGTGACCCTCTCTGGACCAAGAGAGCAGGGAATACTGATTCATAAACTGGTTACCTTCAGATTATATACATTGTGGTCTTTCTTTTGTTTGTTAACAAAACCTTCAGATTTCTTTCTTCCTCTTGCAAAAGCTGATGCTCAGCTGAGAGTAGCACAAGTGAAGATAGTAATTTCTTGTCATTTCTCGACCGTTAAAAGCAGCTTAAAAATATTAATTTCATCAGGGTTGTCAGGAACAATAATATTCTTCAGTAAAATAAATTTTTAAAAAATCCTTCCAGTAGCACCTGAGAGACCAACGAAGTTTGTTATTGGTATGAGCTTTCGTGTGCATGCACACTTCTTCAGATACCTTCAGTAAGTCCGTCTTTGTTGTTGATTTTTGTGCCTGGGTGCAAAAAGTGGCAAACGAATAAAACGAAGGAAGGAAGAAATTATTATTTTTTGCAAATAAATTTTTATTGTTTTCAACATGTAATTCTTTTTCCAACAATCCTTATTGTCACATTATAATCCCTTTGACTCTGCCGAGTCCTGACTTCCCTCCCTCCCAACCACTGGTATATACATCACATACTTTTTGCGTATATTATTGTCATAACTCTACTGTTTTACATTGGAGGTGTTATTCCAGTCCTGCTAGTGTCTTAATATTTTTGTTGTTCTCCTTTATATAGTCAATAAATTTATTCCAATTGTTATTGTATCTCTGGTCCTCTTGGTCCCGGATCCTTCCTGTCAATTTGGCAAGTTTCAGAAAATCTATCATCTTCACCTGCCACTCCTGGATGGTTGGTAAATCTTGTGTTTTCCATGTTTTGGGCCAGTAAAGTTCTTGCGGCGGCTGTGGCGTACATGAATAAGTTCTGGTCTTTTTTTTAAATTTCTAATAAGGAAGGAATTATTAGCTGGTCCATCTTACGTGATTCTCCTTAACGGTGGGACTAATGATTAAAACGCCATATTTTTAAAGGAACAAAATGGAAATGGGACTTGAGCGCGTGGTTGCCACTGGGGGCCGGCAGCGAGCAGCCTCTCTCCCTCTCTCCTCATGTGATTCGGCCCTCGAGCCCAAAGGAAGGCGGAGCCCCGGAGACCTTCGACCGTCCCGAGCGAGGAGGTGCTTTTCCGTCGAGGTGCAGCCTCCGTTTCCCCATCTCATGCTGGCCTTCCTTGCGCGAGCGCCCCGTCCTCTCCTCTCCGGCTCAGCCGGCAGCCCAAGGAGGGCTATGGCGGCGGCAGCGCGCCAAGGTTTGCGCAGCAGCAGCAGCAGCAGCAAGAAACTGGTGGAGTGTTTCTACGACGTGCTGTCTCCGTATTCCTGGCTGGGATTCGAGGTAACAGCGGTGGAAGAAGGGGGCATGGAGGGGGGACCGGGACAGCCTTCCCCCTCTCCCCCCAGATTGCAGCACCCTGCTGGCACAGCCGCCCTTGCGCCCCTCTCCAAGAACTCCGGCGCAACTTTGTTTTGCTCAGATGTCCACTCTCCGTGGGTCCCGTCGGTTTTCCTTCCGTACTTAGGAGGGTCACGAAAAGTAGAATTGCAAAGTCGGAAGTGTCCTGGTCGACCTGCGATCGACAGGTGGATCGCCGGTGTGCTTCCCGGTCGATCGCGGTAGTTCAATAAGTGGTCGCCCGGTCGCCCCTGAGCGCTCGTGACGCGCCCCGGGCTGTTAACGCATTTAGTCCCCGCGTCGGCTGCTGCGCGTGGGAAGCGGGGAGGGCTGCGAAACGCAGAGTGAGGCCAACAGGTGTTTGGATTGCAATACTGTATTCTAGAAGAACAACCCGTTAAATCTAAAACTGCACCCACTGGCAATCCGAGGCTGCAATTCCACGCAGGGATTTCACCCGGGAGCACCCTTCCAAGTACTGCCACCTTGCACAAGAACCGGGTGCAAAGGTAGCTCAGCTGGTTACAGCCTGGTGCGGATAATGCCAAGGTTGCAGGTTCGATCCTGTATGGGGCAGCTGCAGATTTCTGCATTGCAGGGGGTTGGACTAGAAGGCATGTCCAACTCTTTAGAGACTGCGATCTACTGCCAATATAGTAAAACTGGCAGTGATCTACCCATTGTCATTGCCCAGAGTTGATGAGCTTTTTTTAGGGGAGAGTCTTACCCATGGGTAGGCAAACTAAGGCCCAGGGGCTGGATCTGGCCTAATCGCCTTCTAAATTCAGCCCGCGGACGGTCTGGGAATCAGTGTGTTTTTACATGAGTAGAATGTGTGCTTTTATTTAAAATGCATCTCTGGGTTATTTGTGGGACATAAGAATTCATTCATTCCTCCCCCCCAAAAAAAATATAGTCCGGCCCCCCACAAGGTCTGAGGGACAGAGGACCAGCTCCCTGCTGAAAAAGTTTGCTGACCCCTGGTCTTACCCAACAGTTATTGTGATAATGCTGCCATCTGACTGCTGCATAAAATTGATTGAGCACAGGACGGTAATTCTAAGGGCATTTTATAAATAAAATAAAGGAAATGACTGAAGTGGAAGCAGCTCTGGCAGCTTTTGCAGATACCCAGAGGGATCTCAGCTTCCCAAATACCCAGTACCTTTGTACAGTATAAATACCTTTGTCTGAACTTTGCCTTGTTTACTGCTGCTGCTGAAAGTGTTGCAACTTTCCAACTGTTACTCATCTCTTCCATGTTCCGATTGTGGGTGTTCATTAGGAATTGAACCAAATAGTTTGCCAGGCTGTATAGAGGTCACTTCTAACCAGTCTGCCCATAGAGCATTCATCCTGAATGCAGAAGGGGGTCGCCTTTGCCTTAAGTATAGAAATTTCAAAGTTTAGAAATGACGTTCATAGCTAGCATGACGCGGGGGCTGGCTTTAGAAAACTTGCAGAGTGGCATGTGCCAATGATGCAGGAAGTTTGGGCAGGTGTTTGTCCCTCCCAACATGGTCTAGATGATTAATCACTAGAGGAATACAGGAGTTGGTTGATCCTGCCATTTATTTGACAAGGATCCTGCCATTTATTTGACAAGGGTAGATGGCCACCTTCTCATCCTTTCCAGCTCTTGCCCCAGCCCAATTGAGATTCCTCCGTAGTTTGCACAAATAGTCAAGGCTACTGTTCAGATAAGGGACGCGGGTGGCGCTGTGGGTTAAACCACTGAGCCTAGGGCTTGAAGATCAGAAGATCGGGGGTTTGAATCCCCGCCACGGGGTGAGCTCCCATTGCTCGGTACCTGCTCCTGCCAACCTAGCAGTTCGAAAGCACGTCAACGTGCAAGTAGATAAATACTGTATTTTACGCCCCATAGGATGCACCGGCCCATAGTACGCACCTAGTTTTTTGGGGGGGAAAGAAAGAAAAAAAATTATTTCCCCCCCAGGTGCGGGGCTGGGGCGGGGGAAGCGCGAGCTTCCGTCGACCCCAGCCCCCAGAACAGGCTGCTATCCGCAAGCCGTGGGAGAGCTGCGCGAAGTCGAGCAGCTCTCCCACGGCTAGGGGAGCGCTGCGTGAAGCCCGAAGCTTGGGGCGTGCTGAGCTCAGCGCATCCCAAGCTTCTGG